CCGTAATAATTACGTCTGCCATCAACGCAGCCCGACGCCGGCGAGGATCCTGCCCTCGCCTGCCGGTCTGCCGCGGGGGAACGGGGCCGGAGCCAACGGAGGAGAGCTGTGGGTTTTTCCAAGCATTGTTTGACCCATCTATGCTTGATGCACAGCGTGCGACAAAACACAGGGACTGATTTGATGCCGTTCACTCAGTTGCAATTTTTTTTTTTTTTTTATTTATACACACAGTTTCAGATTTTAAAAAAAAAAAAAAAGAGAGGCAGACATACGCTATTACAAGACAGCCTGGCTTTGGAGAGGGAAAGCCATTTTCTTTTGTCCTTCTCCAAAGAGCAGATGGATCTGCTTCCCAGCTGATCTCCCCAGCAGAGTAGCAGACACCTCTCATTGCCGGCACATCTTCCCCCTTTTTTCAAGGCTCTGAGAAAATTCACGGCGAAGCACCGCCTAGAAATTTATTGCTTTCAAGCCAGCGTGTGGCCTGTGCTGCCCTCAGAAGTTCCCTCTATGAAGTACACCCACACTCTCCAGGGCGGAGAGATCTGCCTGACATCATTAGGCAGCAGCCGAGCGCTGCCCAGCCACCACCTGCAGCAAGCAGACCTCCGATCCCAAGAGAGAGGCTCACCTCTGCGAAGAGGGAGCGCGTAGAGCTGCCGTGCAGGGATGCTCCCGTGCCATCGGCAGCTCTGGAGCGATTCCCGGCCGGCCTCACGCGAGGCTGCCCGCTCTCTCCCCAGCCTGCGGGCAGCTACTGCCCAAGGGGGGCTGCCTGCAGCTGAGGGGAGATGAGGCTTGGGTGGCTTCAGGAGATGAGAGCAGGGAGGTGGATGCTGGCCAGATGAAGGTCCAGGGGTGAGGAGCGGCACCCTGCTCCCTTCCACTGCCCTCTCCTGGGGGGTTTGAGGGCTAGCGTGGCTAGTACCTCAGAAATCCTGGGAGTGGGCACTCTCGCCAGGCTGAAGGTTAGTCCGGAGTTTGTACATGTGATCTAAGGCTTGAGTAAGGAAAGTCCCGGTCGTGTTGATCTCCATCAAGGTTAAGTTATCCAGCTAAAAGAGAAAATAGCAGAATGTGGGGAAACAGCTCTGCTGCAGCAGAGGACAAGGAACTCGGAAAGCAGCTCTGCAGCCCACGCTTTCCCTTCGGTGACACCCCAAGGGACCGGGCCCAGCTGCCACCCCCGGTCAAGAGAAGCACACGAGCGACAGGAGCACTATTTCCATAAGGCACGGGGAGCCGCAACCAGCCCATAAAGCGAGATTTCAGCATATGGCTTTAGCTCCCAACTGACGTTACCCACAGCCCAGGAAAAACATGCCCCAACCAGCATTTTCACGAGCAGCTCTCATCAGTCACAAGCCCACACAATCGCACGGCATCTGGAATCCTCCCAGCAGAGAGCTGGCAAACCTCTCCCCGCGCGTCCCCGCCGCACCTTGGCGTGAACCTCCTGCTGCCTGACAAAGCTGTCCGCAGAGAGCCGCAGCTTGGCTATCCGGGTGTCCCAGGTATCCTTCACCAGCGTTCGAATCTCATCGGCTTTGGGGATGTTGTCTGAGGCACTAGAGGAGGAGAGAGCGGATCAGAACAGGCTGCGAGGGACTCGTACGTTATGTCACCGGCGTAAGTAATGCTGGCAGTTCTTCAGCCCTCTGAGGCATAAGCAGAGCAGTTTGCTATAGAGGAAAAAAAAACCTGCAACTCGACATTAAAATCCAGCCTGGTACTTCTGCTGCTGGGATTTTTGGGATAGTTTATTTACCCAGGAATGCTCAGCTCTGATGCAGCATCTGGTTCTCACTAGAATCCTTCTGCTCTTTAATTGCCCAGCTGGTACGAGGTACACGGAGGGCCAATAACCCGGCCAAAGTCACAGGCAGCCAGAGAATTGAAAGGACTCGGCTGCGATTACAGCCCCAGCTCTCTGCTCTCGTGGCTCTATCGGAGAGTATTAAGTTGAAAGGACTGTACGAGTTGTGCCACATCCTCCCATTACGGCAATTCAGTGCTGCCATAAGGACCTCGAGAGATCAGATCAATTCACACGGACAGAGCTGTCAGGGTTATTCTAGCGTGAGGGAAGGAGCCGCACGCCAAGAGCGTCATCTCCAGAGGAAAAGCCAGCGCTTAAAAGCCC